AAAATAATCAAATTTAAATTTGTGCATTAAAACTATGTGATTATTTTCTATGTAGTTAAAGGTTTAAAGTGAGCAGAAATGCAGAGAGAGTGCAGACTGAGGGACAGACATGGGAACTGCAGGCAGAGAAAGCCACTAACTGGCTGCATCCAAACAACCATCATGGCTGCCAGCTCTTAATGTTGCTCCTCTCTCTTTCTACCGCCGTGGAAAAACCTCCAGAGAAAATGAGCTAAATGAGCATAAAAGTCCGCGGTTCATTTTTCTGATAACCTGGGACTCTGGTTGAAGTTGCCACTGATGACGGTGGCGCTACTCACCGAATTGACGTGTTTATTTTTTTCACTGAAACACCGCTGATCCTGGAACGGTCCGACTGCGAGGCAGCGACATTTTCTCTTCTTCTCTGCTGTTGCTTCAGCCGGTTGCAAATCAGCCAGACGCGAGCCGCGATCCTAGCTCTGATTGGTCGACTGAACGATCAATCAGACTGGAAACGTTTTTCATTGGACGAGAACAGATATACAATACTTCACGAGGCGGGAATTCCGAAATGCACACACTGAGCATTAAATGAGTTGTTTCATATGTTTTAATTATTATAAACTAGCAGGGCCGCTGGAAGTCTTTCTGAACAGGGGGTGCTGTGAAAAAATGAAAAATAATGACATATATATAAATAAATATATATATTAATAAACAAATATAAATATATAACTAAATATATACATATATATATTAACAAAAGACCTATGAGCCTAAAATACAATAAATAAAAATACGTAAATAGATTGAGATTCACTACTTTATTTTCATATATACTTCAGTGCGCCCAGACATCATCAGTTCTCGGCTGAATATATTAGTTAAACTTCACAATAACCACTATAACAACTTAGATGAACCTGAATCACTCTTTATGTCACACGGGACTCTATTTGCTCCAAAATCCTTTTACACAAACCAAAATAGGCCTCAAAATAACTAAATTACCAAATTTAAATTCAAATACCTGTAACAGTAAAATAAAAAAGGCAAAACACTTCGAACAAATTCAAGTATTTTTAAGACATAAAAAAAAGTAAAATCTTCCGGTCGCCACTAGGGGGTGCTGCAGCATCCCCACTTCCTGCGGCCATTCAAACCACTAGGCTTCTAATTTTATGGCATTTAATCAGCTCCACAGTGAATATATATATATATATATATATATATTGTTAGCGCTCTTCTTCTTTTGCATTTTCGTATGACTCTCAGTGTTAGAAAGGAAAATGTCTCATTTCTAAAGGCTTAAAAGCTGTTAGTTTAGTTTCATTCGTGTAAGTCTGAAATGAACATCTGCCGTATGGATGACCAATATGGAGGACCAACTCTGCCATATTTAAAAATAAATACAGAAATAAATAAATGCTCAATAAATATATAAGCATGCAATTAATTGTCA